TTTTGTTTATAATACATAAGCATAGTGTGTATGAAAGTGTACAGCTATTTATTTGTGATTATATAGTATCATACTGTGATTTACATTGACAAACATGTACCGTACTCGAGCATGTTAGCTCCCATGCCCGCTCAAGCACCCAACCCCTACTTTTATATATTCTGGGTCAAATTCGGCAAAGCGCCCACCCCTTCAAAATGCAACAAATTTAAAACTTGGTCTTTGATAAATGCGTAACGCATGGATATCGGCCACTATGAATATGTTTGGAATGCATAGACCATGGTAACAGTGCGTAAATGACCTGGTAATAAAAGTAAAATGCGATAAATGTTTTATGCCATATTCATTTTACCATTTCGTTTATTCGTCGAAATCAATCCCAACAGATCGTACTTCAACATCGATAATTCACTTCCACATTGTGTTACCAGAAAGTCTTCGAGAGTTTCCGAAGAATTGCATCGGTACAACACAGCATTCTGATTGATTACATGTAATAATAGACGCTGTTGCAGGTCAAATCATGCAAATGCATCATGGCGGAAAGTGTTTTTCATCGAGACTTTATGTACAATCCAACATATTCATCGGTGGAGATAATGATGAGAATTTTGACTTCTGTGTTCCAACAGACTCTAATATTTTTAATCTCGTAAATTAGTATTGTAATAAGATGTGCATATTTTTTGTGATCTTTGCTGTTTCATTGTAAAAGTCAATGACGACGCAACTAATCGTAATTTGATTTTCCCTCAAAAACGTAATATCTCCCTCAATTTGTCACATGAAAAAAATAAAAATTTGCACTCTTTTTCCATGGGGGGTGCTCTGGTAAGCATCCACCTCTAAAAAAAACAAGATTTTCTGAGTTGAGGACCCTGGGCGCTAACATGGTCAAGTATGGTAAATACATTCAATGCTAAATGAAACTTTCTTATATTGCAATAGAAATTTTAATAAATATCATAAAAAGTGTATACAAGTTCTTTAACATAGGATGTTTGAAAGTCTATGTCTAAAATAGAAAATGGCTTCCTATGATACAAATGCATGGTGCAACTTATAATTTCTTGTTTGGACAAATTTTGTCTTCAATTCTGAGCTGTGTACCTGTTTTAATCCCCCTCGGTAACTACCTCTTCAGCTTGATATTTGCTCCTTGAGCATCTACCCATCATTCAGATGATCTGAATATAAATGTTTCATTCTTGCCACTTTTATCAGTATTTTGTGCAGGTTATGTTTTCTTATGATAATATTATATAATATATGTTTACATGCAATATTTTGTGATTTTGTAAAACAATTTTATATTTACATGTCTCTATGTAGTGTGTTTGTACTTCAATGTTCATTGCTTTCACTTAGTGATTTTTAGTGCACGACCTGAATATCAAGTTCTTGGTGTTGTGCCTATACATCTGCTTGTGCAGAAATGATTGGTATTTCTTGAAATTACATTGAACACTCCCATTTTCTGTAGAGTCTATGGTTGTGTGTACATCATGTAGGTATGCACAACTGCTTTGATTTCCCTATGGGACAAAATCCCATTCAACTTTTATATGCATGGAATATGCAATTTAGTATGTTGAACTGAAGACCACATACATTTCATAGAAAACATTTCCTATGTTTTGCTTTTATAATAGAGAGAATATGTGTATATTTTAGAGTCATGGCATTACTGCGCAGCAGTTATCTACTCTGTTTTTAGAAGTGTTGTATTATAGCAATGTATTTGACAGGCAAAATGCAATATACCAGGCAGCTATGATTTTATAAAAAAACAAAAACATGTTTATATTTTAATGGTCAGGATTGTTAATGTTAACATTTATGAATGTTTTAAATATAAAAAAATAAGATTGCATATTTTAAATTTAAATGTTACAAGCTGTAATTTAAAGTTTAAGTATTTTAAAAGTCAATCAGTTTATTTTATCATAGGTGCAATACATTTTTTCACCCATATTTATCAATAAATCTGCAATTCTGTGAAACCAAATCTATCTGGTCGGACATTTCATTGTTTTAATGTATGTGGTAGTCAGCCACACCTTCCTGACTTGTTAGTCTGTGAGTCATTAAGTGTAGAAAACACCATGGGACAAAGCGGTGTTGTGAGGGCATAACCCAAAACAACTCCCAGATGCCCCATGGTGTTAGCTACTTATAAACGGACTGCTTTAAAGATTGATGCTACTGGTAAGCACTGTAGCCATTGTTTACTAATCACTCAGTCCCCTCCAAGCCAGCAGCCAGGAAACAACCCCTAAAATATCTGTTGACAGTGACCATTCAGAAGCCAAAACCACACCTGCTTTACGACGATTTCACTTTAAAATAACTCTACCTTCTAAACAGCACAATGAAACTTAAACAGCTGCTTTGAAGTGTGCAGCGGGAAATTATGGCTAGTAACACCATGGCTATTCTCTCATGGGTGCAAGAAATCACTAACTGCAACGTGGTTGTCGATTGGCTAATCATGCTGTCAATCTATATAATTGCCATAGTTATATGTCTTCACTTTCATGGAAATTCAATATGTACATGGTTTTGAATAGAAATATCCGAGATATTTTGCAGTCTAGCAAAGCTTGTGTTCACTGTTACTGCTTGTACATACTGTTGCTAAGCAAAGAACACTCATTCAAGTTTGTGGCACTTGCAAAAGTTAGGCTTGATTTTGTTAACCGACTATCATCTGTGATTGTTTCAGAGAGTAACATTCAATTAGTATCCTCTGTTGCATGAAATGATATAACAGGTTGCATATAGGTGTTTGTGTTCTTGCGTCTGGTCACAAAAAGTCGTATTATATCGGTAGTATATAATATTAATTTGTTTTCGGTGATCTGCTAGGATTGTCCTTTTAATCACTTGTGTCTGTGTGTGTCGTCTTCACCTATTAACTCTTCTGTGATTTATTTTTCTGGGCCAATTTTATTCAAACTTGGCAGGCTGGGTCACACAAATTTCTGGCCATGGCAACAGCCGAAAAAATGAATAGCTTTTGAATACCTTCGCGGCAAATGTATCTCCTACAAATCTTGGAGTAGAAAGCTGGGACATATCTCATTCTACTCTGCTTATAACTTGGGTAAATATTGGTCAAAGTTGACAGGCAGGTCACACCTGCACTCTAGAAAAGTGGACAGAAACAGCCGAAAACATACTTTTGTTGTTGTAGCTACGAACAAAATGTATCCTCTTTGAGTCAGAATCTTTGACATATCTCATCAGTTTAACTTGCTTGAATGTGTGCCTAAACACAAACCTTAAAAATATTCTATTCCAAGTTACTATTTTGTTTGAGTTGACACCAGTGGTTTTACTGGATTGACATGTGCAAGACACGCAATTAATGCTAGCCTAAATCATCATTTACCCTTGACGTCATTGGTTAAAACAGCGGTGTTAATAAACGTCTATAGAAGTCTCTTGTCTGTGTGTCTGGTTTCAATGATGTCTCTTGTCTGTGTGTCTGGTTTCAATGATTCAGTGTACAATACATGCAATTTTGGGTTCACATGTGCTTCTATTGGAGATGCGCTTCTAATTAAACAAATACAGAATTTGTTCTATTAGTCGTGTATATGCTTATGCAAATAACAGAGCTGTATCTATAATCAAAATAAATCATATTTTAATATCATGTGCACATGCTTCTGTCGGGGATGCACTTCTAATAAAGAAATAAGGATTATTACCGGTATATTTATAAATCTTAGCAGCTCTTGCTTTAAATTGTTATTTAAAGTTAATTGCAGAGTTTAACAAGTTTGAATATCTACAATATCAAATGGACACATGTAGTATCACATGGTTTTTGTGCGTGATTTCTGTCCAATGTGTTGTTACCGGTAAATAAGATTAAGCTGTGAAAAGTAAATTGTAAACAAAACAAAACTTATGACATTAAGAGTTCTAGAATTTGACAAGATAATCATTTTATGGCAAAAATGTGTTTCTGACAAGAAATACTTAATGGCAGCTGTAATGTTCACACTCGAATATTGTAAAACCGTAGGATCCGAGGCAGATGGTAATGATTGACGGTTGTTTTTACCGGAAGAAAGATAATAATTTTTAAGCTTATTTTGTATTTCATACACATTGATAGATTAAATCAAACAATAGAAGATAAATTGTGAAATCTATTGCCAAGGTGTAATTTGTTATGGAAGTATGTGCAGCATATGATGTTGATTTCTGTGTGATGAAGGAATGGCAGGAAGAATGCATGGTTCTAACAATATGTATCTGAATGCAGATTCTTGAGTTCATTGAAGCTAAATGTGACACCACTGTCTGATTTAATTTGATTTTATGACAAAGGATGCCGTGTTAAAATGTGTGTTTGTAGTTGTTTCAAGCGTACTCGCCTACCTACATTTTGCGATTGTTATGACGCATATCAAAGAATGCATCTGCCACCTAACGGCTTAAGGTGAATCGCAATACTTGACATGGTGCATACTTTGGAGGGCGGCGAATAATTTTACACGAGTAACTCAGATTTGTAAAATAATCTTCATTTGCACATTTCATATCGTCGATTCACTTAGTCAATTGGCATTAGTACGTTTTACCACAGTGTGGTTCGGGTGGTTTTACCTTAACTTAGACTCTAGCTATTAGTGGGCCCTCTGTCGTCGATATAGAGCCATTTCTACGTGATTTGTCAGATGG